ACTAGGACTATAACAGGGTTTAAAGGTGAACTAGGTAAATTCATTGAGGTTAAGTCTATTAATGGCTATTAGCCAGGATGGGTAAGGAATGGTGTCCCTAGCTTCTGTCTGTCAGAGGGTGGAGATGGATGTCAGGAGAGAGATCACTTGATCATTACCTGTTAGGTTCACTCCCTCTGGGGCACCTGGCATTGGTCACTTTCGGAAGACAGGATACTGGGCTGGATGGACCTTTGGTCTGACTCAGTACAGCCATTCTTAAATAGTTTTATCTGCCCCTATGCTAGCAAGAAGAAAACTACAAAGCCTATCATCCCTTGTGTTTCAAAGTATAAATTCTATTCCATATAAATTCTTATACCGCCCTCAACACCATAGTATTCTACTGATGCAAAGCACTCTAGCAGAACTAGGTATTATTAGGATTATTAGGATTATTAGTGCGTTAAGCTATGTGGCTATCACATGTCACATGTGGTTCATTCTCTCATCCTTTCCCCAGGCAGGGGGAAGAATTGTGTGCGCGGTGGAGTGTTTTGGTTTGATTTAAGTGAACATGTTGCTCTGTGTTTGTGTTAGTCAGTCTAAAGATGTGCGTGAGCGGTGAGGTCTGGGATTGTCCCACGGCATTCAACCCTCCTGGGGTCAGGAGAAAATTACTCCTATGGCAAATGGTATTGCACCACTAGGTTATCATGGGACAAGTACACTTCACCATAAGAATCCATCTTTGGCTGCTGCCAAAATCAGGACAAAAGACTGGATAGACCATTGGTCATTGCACTCTGGCAGTTCGTATGCTTTCGTCTGTGAGAATCTGCCTTATACAAGATGGCAGGACGTTTTCAGTGGCCTGGCTTGCCGGTGGCAGGATGTGATAAATGGTACTGCTGCACTTAGATTACATCAAGGCCCTCTAGAGTCTAAGAACAGCCACCTTTGTCTGACACTTTTGGTAGATCTAAATAAATAAAACGCCTGGTTCCAGTCATCTTCCCAGAAACAATGATATAATGTAGCAATTTCATTAAAGCTCCTGGTGAGGAAAGTAATCTCCACTGGGATCTAATTATGTTAAAATATACATGAAGAATCTAGCTTCGTTCTGTATAATTAACCATTTTTTATTTGTTCATTGGACAGAATATCATATTTCAGTCGGCTGTGGCATCAGCAGAGGCCCTAGAGAAGAGAAATAAAATTTAACAATGTATTTTTATCTTAGAGACAAACTGTTCTTTTTGGATATTAATAGTCTCATTTCTCTGGGTAGTATGAATGCCTGGTTAGATTCAATTAGAAATGGATGGATGGATATTCATAAGTGGCCAGATGCTTCTAATCCATAAACTATGTATTAGAGATGGGTTTGAGCTGTAATTTGCCTTCATGTCAAACTTTCCTACAATTTGAGGTTGTTTCGATCCAGGTTTTGATTTGGCCCATTAAAGAGACAGAGGCCAGCTGCAAAATTGAGCTCCAGATCTGAGCGTTACAGTGGCTTGGAGGAGTTTAGATCTCGGTTTTTGGTTCTGACCCATCTCTCAGAAATAGCAAATCAGTGCTCAGAATCCACTGAAAATGTGGCCATTTCTAAAAGCTGGTGAGCCGGATACACAGGAAACCCACCGTGCAGGCTTGTGTGTGTCCCAGGAATAAGGCTATACTTCTTGCCTTCGCAGAGCGCTCACATAGACGGCCACAAGAAGAACAGTGTGCGGCACAAACTGGTCTCCTTGACTCTAAAGAAGAAATCCAAACTGACTGAAGAGGTGAGAGGAAATGCTTTGCGGCTGGGTAGCACAAATGGTATTATATGGTCTGCAGGGCTCTCTGACTCTCTCCCGCTGCTCCCTCGACACAACACATCCAGACCTCCTCTGGGTTTGCTGCTCTCTGTGTCTTTGGGGGCCTGAAAGATTTAAGGATTCTTTAAAGGGAAAGGTTGGCTCCCCATGTCTCCTCGAGTCACCCTGCACCTCATGCCTTCTTCCCTATGCCTGGTGCAGCTCGCACTCTCCATTCATCAAGTACCTGTCCATCTCCTCTTTTCACATCCCTCCATCTGCATAGACGTCCAGTTAGAGAATCACCCACCCCCCTGTGTTGGCCTGAACATTCTCGGTCTTTCTGACTTCAGCGCCCCCCTGCTAGGTTTTAGATTCCGAGTGGATTTTCAGAAGCACTCAACATTGGCCTAACTCCACTGCCATTGATATCTGTGGTCAAACACCCATGTGAACCATTCGGCCAGTGCCGAGCACTTCTGAAAATCCCACTCTTCAGGTCTTGGTACAGAGAATCCTTTTTCTTGACACATCCTCCTTTTTATACGGTATGGTAGAGAGGAATTATCAGTGGTTCACAGTCAAGCTGGAAGGGCATATCAAGTGGAGTCTCGCAGGGATCAGTTCTGGGTCTGGTTCTATTCAATGTCTTCATCAGTGATTTAGATAATGGCATAGAGAGAGTTTGCAGACGATACCAAGCTAGGAGGGGTTGCAAGTGCTTTGGAGGATAGAATTAAAATTCAAAATGATCTGGAGAAATGGTCTGAAGTAAATAGGATGAAATTCAATAAGGACAAATGCAAAGTACTCCACTTAGGAAGGAACAATCAGTTGTACACATACAAAATGGGAAATGACTGCCTAGGAAGAAGTACTGCAGAAAGGGATCTGGAGGTCACAGTGGACCACAAGCTAAATATGAGTCAACAGTGTAACACTGTTGCAAAATAGCAAACATCATTCTGGGATGTATTAACAGGAATGCTGTAAACAAGACATGAGAAGTAATTTTTCCGCTCTACTCCATGCTGATTAGGCCTCAACTGCATTATTGTGTCCAGTTCTGGATGCCACATTTCAGGAAAGATGTGGACAAATTGGAGAAAGTCCAGGGAAGAGCCACAAAAATTATTAAAGGTCTCGATAACATGACCTATGTGGGAAGATTTAAAAAATGGGTTTGTTTAGTTAGAGAGGGGACATGATAACAGTTTTCAAGTACATAAAAGGTTGTTACAAGGAGGAGGAAGAAAAATTGTTCTCCTTAACTTCTGAGGATAGTACAAGAAGCAATGGGCTTAAATTGAGGTGTAGGTTGGACATCATGAAAAACTTCCTAACTGTCAGCGTGGTTAAGCACTGGAATAAATTGTCTAGGGAGGTTGTGGAATCTCTGTCATTGGAGATTTTAACAGCAGGTTAGACAAACACCTGCCAGGCTAGATAAACACTTAGATAATACTTAGTCCTGCTATGAGTGCAGGGGACTGGACTAGATGACCTCTCGAGGTCCCATCCAGTCCTATGATTCTATGATGTGCGCTTACGGAGGAAACCAGAAACAACGATCACAACCATGCATGTGGTTGCACGCTTACAGCCATGGCGTTGTGGTTTTGGCTGATGGAGCATCTTTTAATTGTGTTACTGTTTTTTTAATGATGATTGAATAGAGAAGAGATGAAGAGCCAGATCCTCACCAGTTATAGACCGGTGAAATTCCATTGCCTTCTACTAGAGTTATCCCGGCTGAGGGTGGGGCTCGGAGTTGCGGCCTACAGGGGCTGTTGTGGAAAAATTGTGGAAGTCCTACCTGGGTGGGGATGGGAGGCACAGCCGTTCACAGAGGTGTGGGTTGAAGGAGGGGAGAACCATAGCAACAAGTTAACCAGAAAGAGAATAATGTCTTTGGTTGACAGGTGACAAAGAGACTCCATGATGGTGAGTCCACCCTCCAAGGCAACAGCATGCTTGAAGACCGACCCACCTCCAACTTGGAAAAGCTGCATTTCATTATTGGCAATGGCATCCTGAGACCAGCATTAAGGTTAGAAATCAGTGCAAAGAGTCAACCATCATTCTCAGTCCCTCCCCCCCCCCCATTAGTTAAGCTGATCTCATTAAAAAAAAATATTTTTGCTAATCTGTGCAATTGAATAAAACACGTAGTACACTGTTCTTCGAGCTCTCTTCCTCTGTCTGATTGGGGCTAGACTCCCTTCATGTTTGTTAGATGTGCATTTCAGGCTTGATCCAAAGCCCATTGAGGTCAGTGGAAAGGCTGACATAGACTTCCTTGGATTTCGGATCAGGCCCCCAGTTATTAGCATTCCTTTTTTCTTTTCACTGCTTATTTTTATCCAAGCCATTACATCCTAAGTTGCTGGGTCTTCTTTTGTTAGAAGAATAGATTTATTTTATTGCATACAAAAAACGATGTTAAAAGAACATGGTTGCAGTTGCAATGTCAAAACTCAAAAGATAGGAAAAGCCAGAATGATGATTGCCCATGCAACCTTAATTCAGCCCCTTTGTGCCTATGCAGTCAGACACTATCTTTAATTAAAAGCTCTTATGCTGTTTTTTTCCACTGGACCCTGCCTCATTCAGTGCACAGAATGAACAGTGCTCACTTAATGAACAGCTTTTCAATATTTTGTCCTACTTCACTGTTCAATGTGTGGCTAGGCCTTATTTCTGCAGATTATTCCGACCCTGCTTCATGCACAATTAATGTATCTTCACTACAACCCTGTGAGATGAGGAGGTGGTATTATGCCCATTTTACAGATGGGGAACTGTGTGACAAAGGCAGATTAGGGTTAAAATTGTATACTGATTTAGGGGGCCCAATTTGAAATGCTTAGGACCTGATTTTTCAAAGCATTATATAGTGCTTGATATATTCAGAGCAGAAGGACCTCCGCTGCTTTTGTGAGTGCCTGGTAGCAGATAGTAGCCGTGAGGGGATGGAGTATGCAGGTAGACTCTGTGGGGAATTCTGCTGGCAAACTCCTCTGAGCATGTGCAAACTAAGAGGTTTTCAAAGGCTCATGAACTTGGCCAAAGATGGGGGGCTTTTCAAGGGGATGGCAAAAAATACCCCCCCGCCCCAACCCCAGGGCAATCCTCATACCAAATTGTAAGTCCCTGTTCCAAAATGTGACAGCACTAGAGCGTCTCAACAAAACAGATGTAAGAAGCTCTTAACATGGACAAACATGTCTTTTCCCCAAACCTCGTTCTGAGAAACAACTGAACTGTTTTTGCTGAAATTTTTTTTAAAAATCAGCATAGAAAATTTCCGCCGAAGCAGCTAAAATTTGGCCAAGTTATAAGGAACGGAAAACAGGGTCTTCTAATGGAACATGTTGGGCCACCTCAACTGCACCGCCTCTGGTATATTTTGCCATTCATCCTAAAAGCTCACAAAGCTCTTTACACAAACAACAGACAAGGCTCATTTTACCCGCCACTGACAAAAGGCTGCTGCTAGGATGGAACATGGCGGCTGTTGGTTTAAATGGACACAGCAACACTACATAGCAACTCAGCACGAGAAAGCGGAGACTTTCAAAGCTGCCTGGATGGCCAGTTTCAGAGCTGCTTTTAGGCAGCTTTGGAAGATCTCAGCCAAAGTGTAGAGGAATGCCGGTCCCATTTGAAATGGCAAGGGGGATGTCTGTAGGAGGGATGAAATTATCAGAGTTAGAATTGGCCAGGGCAACAAGTTTAATACTCCTAGACAGACATAAAGTGCCATGGACCTTTAATTATCAAGCAGTCAGGGTCTGGTTTTACATCCCATCTAAAAGACGGCAGTCCCTTTAACATCTAGTAGCAGTTTGCAAGCCTGAGAGGCAGATTTCACCAGAAAAAGTAGCAAATTATTCATTAAGGGTCCAATCCAGAGCCCACTGAAATTATTGGAAAGACTCCCATTGACTTCAGTGGGCCGTGGATCAGGGCTCCACTGAGAGGGAAATGGTATCTTGAATGATTGGCTGGGATCTAACCCTGACTTCTGTTGCAGGGATGAAATCTATTGTCAAATCTGCAAACAGCTCACCCAGAACCCTTCCAAAAGCAGCCACGCCAGAGGCTGGATCCTGATGTCGTTGTGCGTGGGATGCTTTGCTCCTTCCGAAAAGTTTGTGAAGGTGAAGAGCGAATGTTATTTATCCTTTGCCTGGCGTATCTATTTATACATTTCCTTTCGCAATGCTGGAGCCAACTCTTCTCTTTGGTTTCTCTGCTTGTTAACTGTGTCGTGACTCCCTTTCCACCCAGGGTCTGATTTTACAGAAAAGCTCTGTTGTAATAAAAGCCCCAGTTCAGCTAAGAACATAGCACATGCTTCAGCCCCATTGAAGTTAAATTGAAGTTAAAGTTTAGCAACTGCTTACATAGGTTGCTGAATTGGGGCCCTAAAGGCTCTTCTTCTAACCAAGTCATCTAATTATAAAGAAGAATAAATTACTAGGAAGTTGTTTTTAATTGAAACCAAATCTCAGATCTCAAGGCCTTGCAGAAATTTGAATCCAGATCTACACCCACTCATCACAGCTGACCTGTATTTCTACAATAGGCTGATCCAAGCACACCTGAAAATTAGGGATGCTCAGATCCCAGCTTTGCAGCCTGGCCCTCTCTCTTGTCCTACATATAATAGCCAAGAATAATGAACAGGCCTATAGGAAGCTGCCATCCGGAAAGGCTGGTAACACAGAAGAGGGCTCAGAGAAAGCAGCCGCAGTTATGTATGTGAGAAAGCAGGGACTTCTGGGGCCAAATTTTCAAACGACGTGTCTGAGTTGCTTCTGCAAAGAATATGCAAACACCTACATGAGGCCAAACATCCATATTCTTGCACAAGTGGGATTGGCACATCCAGGCTGCGGGTTTATGCCTGCGGTTAGCCCATAGGAATATACAAAGGCTAATTTGTATATGCAGATGGCGTTTCTGCACACTCAGTCGATGCATCTGCTGCGCTGGTACATTTGTCTCTCAGTGGTATTACAAAGTGAGCTCAATTTTGCTGAAATTAAAGAACAAATCTGCATGGAAAAGTGTGTGTGTGTGTGTGTGTGTGTGTGTGTGTGTGTGTGTGTGTGAATTTAGGAAGGTTTTAAATTAACCCCAGATCTATGAGTGTATTTTGTTTGGTTGCTCTACTGTGTCCTACTTCCTCATGTATCCAGATGGAAGCCAAGGCCTCTAGATGAGCAGTTTTATCTCCCAAAGTATTGGGCATCCAGCAGCTCCCACCGAAGTCACTGGGAGCCGCTAAGTGCTCGTCACTCTTGCAAATCAGGCCACTTCTTTGGATCCCATTTTTTATAACAATTTTGGCCTAAATCCATATTTAGGCCCCTAGCTAAAAGTGGCCTGACTTTGAACGGCGCTAAGCACCCAGACTCACAGTGACTTCAGTGGGGCTATTCAGGCTTACGTTTAAGCCTGGGCTTAAGGGCTTTGCTGGGCAGAGTACTCAGCACGTTGCAGGACTAAGCCTTTAGTCCTTGCTCGGGCAAGCCTCCTATTGCCACTGTGAGAGCTTTGCCCGAGGAAGAACTTCAGAACCTGTAGCCTGATCCCAAACCCAGTGAAGTTCAGTTGGAGCATTTCCACTGACTTCAGTGTAGTTTGGATCAGGCCCTCGGTCCTTAGAGCTGAATCCAGAAGCCAAATTCATCAATAGAATTCTTGGGGTCAGCCACAAGACCTTCCTGTAGGGAAGCGGATAAGGCAGATAAATCACGTGTGAAACAGCAGAAAATTCCATTATGCCTAGAAAAGCGACCCAGTAAAGCGTGTCACTAGAGAGGGCCCATGGAGCGTTTTAGTCTGTGTTTAAATCTTTGATAAAGGAGGGCTTATTTGGGGAGAGAGCAGCACTTCTAGAAACAAGTTGTTAATAGTCTTCAAAATATACCCTTTGGCTGGAACCCTGGCCCCACGGAAGCCAGCGGCCAAATTCCCATTGACTCCAGGGGAGCCAGGATTTTACTCTCTGTAATCTTGGGCTACTGGTCAAACCTGTTGCATTCTGGACTCTTGGTGACTCACTCTGAGGTTACTGTTAAAGGCCCCGATCCTGCAAGGAGCTGCAGGCAAACCACTGGGGTCTCCTGTATAGATGCAATTACAGAATCAGGGCTTAAAATGTCAATTTTTATAAAGTATCGTAGGCTAGGTCTACACTACCCGCCTGAATCGGCGGGTAGAAATCGACCTCTCGGGGATCGATTTATCGCGTCCCGTCGGGACGCGACAATCGATCCCCGAATCGACGCTCTTACTCCACCAGCGGAGGTGGGAGTAAGCGCCGTCGACAGAAAGCCGCAGAAGTCGATTTTGCCGCCGTCCTCACAGCGGGGTAAGTCGGCTGCGATACGTCGAATTCAGCTACGCTATTCATGTAGCTGAATTTGCGTATCTTAAATCGACTCCCCCCTGTAGTGTAGATGTACCCCTAGATTCCTTTCCCCTGCACAGAACATAGTATTACAGCCACAGTAGTAGA